CAACGGCGGCTGTAGGGACGGAGGGACAGCAACCCACACAGGAACAAGGACAGCCAACATGCACACCACAGCACCCCTCACCAGCATCACAGTGCCAGCCACGGCCCCCCCTGCAGTTAAGTTTTAGGCTTAAGAATGAAGGGGGGGGGGGGGGAATAATCTTGGTTTGAAAACAGGGAGGAGGGGAGAGTTAGAAGGGCAATTCTGCACTAGTAATTAAAAAAAAAAAAAAAAAAAAACCACAACACAGGTCAAAAGACATTCCAGGAAGGATGAAGAGGGCACCAGGCCAAGGAAACAACAGAGACCCTGCATAGAGGAGGGCAGTAACTGATGAAATGTCACCAGGAAACACCCATAACAGACAGGTCGTTGAGCAGGCTTATCACAAGCTGTAATAGCCTGAAACCGGTGGCTGCCAGTGCCAGGAAGGTACAGTCATTGCTGGAGTCACCAGGAGCACAGATTAGATAGGGCACCCTGGAGCCAGCACCGCTATCGGAGAGCAAGGGTCCCCCCAAACACCGCCCACTGGTACGCACGCTGACGCACTGCCTCCGGTCTCCCTGTACTGCTTTCCCCTTTTACACCCACAGATCAAGTCAGCCTCCAGAAAGGCTGCCCAGACGCACTTCCCAATCCCAACGGTATTTTATTTTCACACAACTAAGTAAATATTTGAAAGGGTGATGAAGCCCCACGCCATGCCCAGGCGCTGCCCGTGCCCAGCCTGTCTCTGAGCCACAGGGAATCACCAGATTTTCAGCAAGAAGGGGGTTGGCTGCATTAAGTGCTTGGCAACTAAATGGCTTGAAATGCAATTTTAAATGCCTATTTCCAGCCTCCCCCTTCCCATACACACGTACCCTTCGTGGTGAAGCCAGCAATGGCACCTTAAGCCAGTGGTTATGCCAGAAAGAAGCAGGAGCTGCCTCAGCCAAAGCTGCACCCAAACCCTCTTTGCTCACCCGCCTCTTCTGGGGCCAGCTCTGCAACCCAGGGTAACCGCCGGGTTGGTTAGTGACAGCTACAAAATAAACGTGTGCTCTGATGCAGTTTCTTGGCAAGATACTCCCGTTGCAATGACAGTGAGAGGCAGCGAGGGCTGCTCCTGCTCCGAAAGACGGGAAATTCGCCCTAGCAGATCCCCAGGGGATATGGCTCAAGGAAAAGCTGGCATTTTGATGTGGCACCACAGGCCAGAAACAAATGTAGCTGAAATTCCCCATGCAAAGCCTTACACCCAGCCCTAAAACCTTCATATACTCGCACTTGGATTCACCTCCTGCTCAGAGCTCAGCATGAAACCGCATCGCCTCCCAGCACCGGCAGTCTGGCCCCAGCATCCCACCCCGTCACAGCAGCTTCGCCAGACAGCTGCAAACCAGGACTTACGGAAATGGGGTTCCTGAGGAGAAAAAAAAAGAGTCGGTAGAAATGGGCTATTTAGGGGTTAGTGGTGAATAAGCGAGGGATGCAATCAGGCTGGCATGGCCTTGGGGTCTAGGGCAGGATGCACGGGGCAGCTCCGGCCCAACCTGCCCGTGCAGGCCAGGCAGAGGGCAAGTCTCCCAGATGACCACGGCAAGACGTAGAAGTTGGGCAGCTTCTCCTTCAGCTCATCAGCCCACATCACAGCTCTGCCTCGGTTGCAAAGGCGACATATTAAGGGTTGATGCTTGGGGCATACAGCTCCTAAGGACATGTTTATAACACCTTGCCCCAATGACAGCATCCACCCCAAGCCGCAGCCAGAAGTGCAGTGAGGCTCTACCAGGAGGCAGCACAAACCAACACATCCGGCGACAGGAACAGCATCCTCCAAAGCCAAGCAAGCACAGCAGAGCGCAGACTCACAAGGGAGAGCGACATTGCCTCGGCCATCAGCAAATGGTGAGGGTTAGAGACCGCGCAGCTCCCTTTCCAAAAACCCAAAAGGCTAATCAAGAGCCAGGGCACAGCTCCTCTCCTCTGCTCAGAGCAAAGGGTAGCTGAAGCCACTCGAGTGGAGATGTTGATCAGGACCAGGCTGTTGGTAAGGGAAGGGGGGGGCCGGAAGCTTGCACCTTCCAGCTTGCGTGGAGTTTGAGTCAGTGGCAAGGCATAACTCGCTGATGCCGAACAAATAATTTAGCTTTCTACTTCATTATGCCTTCTACTCGCTGGATAAAGCGGAACCAGGTTTGGTGAAGCATGAAAGAACAGGAGACACACAAATCAGCATCCAATCCCTGCTTAGTTTAAGGAAGAGGGAGGTTTGTCGGGCACAGTGAAAGCGCCGTTTGTTCCCCGCTCCCTCGGCGGGCAGACAGAGCAGGGCCTCGCCACAGCCACATGACACAGCTTGCTGGGTCGGACTTGCACGGAGCTGCAGTGGGAATCCTGAACAGACTGTCACAGCAGCCACCATCCCAGGGGAGCGCGAGCGCAAACAACACCAGCTTTGTTTAAGGCAGCAGTTGCCTTTTCACATATTAACCCCTTTACTCGGATGATTAAGGAGCTACCTGGCCACAGACGAGCTGTGCCATCAACGTGCCACACACCCAACACCAAAAACCCCCCACAACCAGACCGACCCCAGGCCAAGGGATGAGAGCCCCTTCTCCTGCCCCCAGAATGACCTGCCACCATGAGATAAGCTTCACAACCCCAACCTTGTCCAGAACACGCAATTCATTTGAGTCAGAAAATCAGATTGAAAACCCATTATTAAAAACACTTCACTCCCCATACCCACACGGTGCTTAAATTAGCTCCATGGGGCCACCGTGGCCAGGGCTGGGTTTGGACCAACATTTGGGAATTGCTGTACCGAACTCAAACCTCACTCCTCGGTTTACTTCATTTTTGATGGGCAAATTGGCCACGTTTTAAATTTATTAAGCCTGACCTGGCTGACCCTACAGAGCCCAGGGCCCCTGTACCCGAGAGGCAACATTTCCCAGAGCCATACTGCCGGAGCCACCACCAGCGGAGGAAGGAGATGCCGACCATCCCTGCCGCTGCCCTCTGCCAGGGGAGGAACACGCACACGTGCATGCTCGCGGCACACTCGGCTTGAACCGGGGTTTAGCCAGAAAGCAAATCTCCATGTTGCAAGATATTGCTAATCTAATCACATAGGATGATCTCGAAAATTACACTGGCCTTCTGCCTTTATTTCATTTGAGCACACAGTACTTCAGACCACATACACGCAGTGATAACAGCCCGGCTACAGCCGCTGAGCAGCAGGACAAGGACAGGAGAGGGATTTTTAGCTGCTGTCAAGTGGTGGGGGGAGATGCCCTTTTTCCTAGAAATTTCCAGCAGACCCTCACTACCCACACAGAAAACGAGCAAAATTTAAGAATCCATTTGCCCAAATGACTGCCTTAAGATTATTCTTGTTAGTTCGTTAAAGGACAAGTCAACCCCGCTGGGATTTAAACACGTGGAAACCATCATATCAGACCTACAGCTTGCCACCAGCTGGAGCAGAGGCACAAGGCTGTACCCCAGGGCCAGTGCACCCCTCGGGATGGTGCACCCCAACCTCCCTGCTCTCAAGCAATAGGGAGGGCAAGTGCTCGTCCAAGCCAGGAGTGGATGCAACAACTTCAACCAGGGAGGTAAAGTCCAATTATATAAATAAGTGCTGAAGGCTTCCTGTAATCATTTATCTGTTGGTATTTTTGGAGCACTTCTAATCAAGAAACAGCTGACTCTCTCATGGAAAATTAATTTTACCATGATGATATGTACTAGAAGAGGCAGCAGGATAATTTGCAACTCAGGAGTTGATTCGGAAGAGGTCTGAACATGACCCACGCCAGCTACCGACACAGGAAGGATACAGACCTGACACGTCTTGCTCCTAACCCCAACACGCTTCCGCCACCTGTGGAAAGGACCTTCCTCCAGCATCCCCCGGCACGGGGGATGGCGCAGTACCCCAAGCCCCATGCTGGGAGAGACAGCCGTCAGGGCTGGGGTCAGGAAGAGGGGCCAGGCAGTTCACAGCAGCCCTGCATGCCCACAGCAGTATCAGCGCCCAGCACGGCGGCCAGGCTTTCCTGAGGAAGGAGCAGGTCTTCCTCTGCTTTGAGATTTAGGGCTTTCTGTCACATTGAGCATTTTTCCCAGTTCATTAGTCCATCAGTGCTGCAGAAGTGCAAAAGGGCTGTTTGTGAGTTTATCACGGTCCCACTGCAACGTGCAGCCTTCTCCTGCCGGCACCCGGGGCTCTGGAGCAGCTGGACCCCGTCCCGGCAAGGGCAGCCACCACAAGCCCCTGCCC